AGCGAGCCAACGCACTCCAGCGAAGACGGCGCCGAAAACTTCCGTGCTCGGTCGGGTAGCGCGTCCTGCGACAGCTACATGTATGTATGGTATGAGGAAGCTACCCGAGGAGGTCTCGACTCAGCCTACGAGCTTTTTTTTGGCTGAACGATAATTTGAAAGGCATAAAAATCGCACAAGCCTGGTGCTCCTACAGGGTTTTGTTGGATGCGTCATAAAGCCATCTTTCGACCATTGGGAATAGCTAGTACGACGCGGGGAGGTCGGTAGCATTTCTTTAGACGTCAACGCCATTCAAGCCTCTCGATTCGCTGTAGTGCTTGAATGTTATTACCTTTTTGGTTCCCATTTCGCGCCCCACGAAATGAACGCTTGGTCCGATCAAATCGGACGCCTTCGAGCACCCGAAAACGAAGACGAGTGTATTATGGCCACCACAAATGAACGCCAGAATCTTCTACAACCCCATCACTTTGGCAAGCGCAAAACTCAAGGACGCGCCGGCCACGAGGCCAAAATTGACAAAAAAGCTCGCAAACATCCCAGCGCCGCTGCGCTCGGCGTCGTCGACGCAGTCGTTGACAAAAACGACGGTGAGCGCGCCGCCGTAGCCGTGCGTCCAGCTAAAGACCGCTACGACAACGTACGTGATGGCATCGTGTGTAAAAAGGACGTTGCGGGCCAAGCAGATAAAGACGGGGATGCAAACGCACCGACCGAGCACGAGGCTCCACACGTTGTGGCGCGTAAAACAGAGCTTGTAGCGCGCGCAGTACCGACCAAGCGCATCAAAGAGAGCGTCCCAGCCCATGAGGAGCAGCGGGAACCACCCAGACGTGTTCAAATTGGGGGCGTTGAAGCTCGCAATGTCCGTCAAGAGCCCCGGCCATACCAGCATCGTCGAGAGGTTGAGCACGACGACAAGAATGCCATTGAAACGAATCTTGCGCAGCAGCGTTGGCTGCAGCACCTTGTGTGTCTGCGGCGTCGCATGCACGGATGCGCTCCCGGGAAGGCGCAGCAGAAGTATATACGAAGCGACGCCGGCAGCCATCGTCGCGGCGCCCGTATAGAAATACACCATCGACGCGGGTACGGTCGCGTCGCTGGGGAAGGCGCCCTTGCTGACACAGCGGTACGCAGTCGTGATGAAGATCGAGAGGCCAATGCCCAGCTGGACATGTTCGATGCTGCCGCTCGGGTACATGGCGGCTAGGGCAAAGAGGGACGAGCCGGCGACCGCGGCGCCGATGGCCACAATGACGGAGCAGAGAAGCACCATGACTTCATGCTGCGTTTCCGTCGTGAGGACATAGTACGACGCTGGAAGCAGCAGAAGCACGAGCAGCTGGGCGCCAAAGCCGCCGATGATGCGCGACCGAAACGACTGGCGCGCGCCGATGGCGAGGAGACCAAAGATGACGACGACGTTGGCAATGTAGTAGGCGAACGAGATGCGAAAGTTGACGTTGAAAGTGGGAAAGAGGAGCCGCCAGTAGTCGACGGGCTGCACGAGCATGCAAAACGGCGTGTAGTAGCAGAGGCCCATGAGCAGAAAGAGCAGATTGGCGCGGCGGGTGTCGGCGGTGGACCACACTGTCGGACTGCACTCGACGGCGTCGCTGGGTGTCGACACGGATGCGTACGGCTCCATCGCAAGAACTTTGTCGTGGACTCGTTAGTCCGTATTATGAGCAAGTGCTTGGAACGATGCTCCAACGTGCGGCGATCGCACACGCGTGTGATTGGTCCATCTTGTGAGTTGGCGTGCGTTGATTGGTGCGTTCAAGAGAGGGTGACCTACGTGATTGGTATCGGTCGCCAAGGATACCAATCGGGACGACATTCACATGGGTGCCACCGATGGAGACGCAGAGAGACCGTGTGAGAGCCACTCGTTGGACGAAGCGACGACACTTCGAGGTGGTCACGACGTGGTGCGTGCCCCAGAGTGGGTGGTCTGGAAGCGGTTGGCAGCAATACTACTAGCACAGAGTCGTGTTAGCACTGGCGCCGTTTTGCAGTCGACCGAGTCGACAGGCGAGAACGTTACGATGGCGCGTTTCGGGATCTGGTCGGTCGGCCGCGTGGACCACCGAGTGGCGCATAGACAGGCTACGATCGCGTGCATATGCAGCAGTGGACGGGACGAGCAAAGATGCGTTGGACGCTGTCCGTCATCTTTGATTTTTACGCGTCAAAAGACAGGAAAAAGACCCATCGTTGACGGTGCACGAGGGGGGAACAACCGTCACCGTCCCACGGCTTGGTCCGTTGCGTGGACGCTGTACTTCGTGTCGAGCTACGGTCAACACTGTTTGTCCTTGATCCAGACCGAACTCCTTGGGGGTAGCAACCGTGTAGGTGTCCGCCATGCCACTGGTGGGGCGAGGCGGGTTGTTTGTTGACGGACGCTGCAATTCCTGAAATCGCATGAGCTTGAGTGCCTGCTCCTGGATCTTGTATCTTGTGTGTTCAAGAATTAGTGTCTTCTAAATCACTCGGCACTGCGCGAAGAAAATCTTCCACTGCGTGTTAACCCCTCAACGCCCAACTTACTGTTAACAGACCGTTCCTGACTGCCAACGCCACCGACCACAAGAACGTGGACAACATTGCACTCTTTTGTCGATCATTTTGACGGCGAGACGACTGTAGTTCTCGGTCGTCACAAGCGCTTCATCCATCAAAATCTTATTCGGTGTGCCCACCAAAGCTCGTTTGCCGCGACTGTCTGTCCTGCATAGTTCCTTTCACGTACTAGTAGCATATTCCGTTATTGTAACGCATCTTGGAGACCCTGGACCTCGAGAAATAGCAAACCAACAAACGTGCGAACGACGGCCTACCAAAGCACCAAAGCCCATCAAGTTGCGGGACAGGCTGGCCAATGTCAACAAAAACTTCTTCGTTTCCAGTCCAGCTATGTAAGCTGAACAAGAAACAATATTGGTTGTGAAAACTTGAAGCGGTTCACTTTAATGACTGTACTAGTCCCTAAAAGCTTACGGCCACGTTTGCTCGCCCTTGGCGACCCGCGCGCTGATCTCGAGACTGATGACGCTGCCGGCCTTGGGGTACAGCGCCGTCATGGCCGCAATGAGGTCCGTGCTGTTCTTGGCCGCAGCCGTCGCAGCGTCAAAGTCGCGAATGTACTTGGCCGTGAACGCGGGCGAGTCAATGTCGGCGACATCGCCGACGATCGCGTGGCCCGGCACGATGACGCTGGCCTTGAGCGCCTGGATCTCGGCCAACGCGTCGAGCCACTCGGTGTGCGACTCGGGCGTCTGCGTGTCGGCCATGAACGCGTGGATGTTGTTTTTCGAGCAAGACACCGCCGACGACGGCCTTGAGGTCTTCGATCCAGACGTAGCTGCGGGCC